AATTCCAGGCGAACAGGCATCAGTATTGTTAGGAAATACAGCTCTCTGCAGGGCAAAAAAAAGTGATATGCCAGGTTTAAACAGGAATTTATAGCCACTGACTGCAAATTACCATATAAAATTACTGATACCTTCGTAAAGTCATCAATTACATGTTTAGTCTTGATTGTCATTTATTGCACTTCTTAATTGTTCAGTAAACTTTTCTGGATTAAATGGTGTATTTCAAATTGACATGAAGCTGTTTTATTGATGTAAATTAACGTAGTGTGTGTTTTACGTGTGGGAGAACTGGGGGACCAGCAGGAGAAGAGTCTCTTCTCCACTGATAGGGGCTGGTGTTGTGATTTCTGCTCGAATGAGGGGAGCTGTATGGAATTGTGAGTATGCAGGCAATACTTATAAAGGACTCTGAAAATCAGGACTGTTGTTGTGTGGAGTTTGGCAGTAAAGGCAGCACACAGACTCATAATCGTTCGTCCTTTTTAAGATAGGAGGAGGAAGGGCAGATAGAGAAAACATTTTTAAAATTGTCAAATTTACACTGTGTCCAAATTAGGTCTTCTGTTAAATCTTTTCCAAGACAGAACATGTTTGACATTTTTTAATTGCTGTTTTTTTCAGTTATTAGCATTTCTGCATTTTCTTGGGCTTCCAAGGAGCTGTAGCAAAGTCCAACCCAACTCAACCGCTGTCTCACCATCGTGACACCAAGAGGGTGGCTCTATCTATCTCCTACGAGGTGCTGGACTTCATGGGATTCACAACCCAGAATGCCCAAATCCCCTTTTCTTTGAAGCTATTCTGGGCTCTTTGGGTTTTATTCCTCGCTCTGCTGTGGAGGCAGCGTGATTCCTATCATACCATTGTTGATTGCATAAAATATTCCCTGAATCCAACACGTTGCATTAAAATCTGGTGTCTGGGCCCTGTCTGCTTTTGAGCAGAGTAGCTGTTGGATTGCGTCTCGGCGCTCCTCAACCCAAGCCAAGTTGGGAGAGACTTGATTGGGATATCGGTGAGGGGTAAAAACCATGCAGACCTCTGCTGTGATTGATGGAGTTGTGCACAGTGAGGACAAATATGTGCAAATACTTGCCCAAAATAGTAGGGCCTCAATTCAGCTGTAACTGGCAGACTTTGCAGCTCGACTTTCAAGAAACATTGTTTTTAATTGACCTTCATGTGAGTAATTTGAAGAGCCAGGGCTGCTTTTCACAAGGAGAGTTTCAAGCGGTGGAATCTCCCATCGTATGTAAAATTAGTAATTTTACTGTACCATGAGTGATTAAACCTGACCCCCAGGGAGCCAAAAATAATGCTGTGCGACTTCCTTGCCTAATTAACACAGAACAAATGTGAAAATGTGTACATTACAGTAAATTGTGTGCTAATTGGCCTTAGAGAAATACTAAGTATGAGGAAGAAATGGGCATATAATTTCAAACATATTTGAGAGGTTTTGCAGTCTGCTTGCAAATAGCCGAAAAAAAAAGTCAAAATTTGACAAAACCATTATTTGTTATGATTTATTCACTCAGCTCTAGTCTTGAACCTGGGAGTTATTGGCAGCTTCAGCTAAGATTCCTGCTGAGTATTTCTCCTTATAATGACTGCATACAGCATGTAGCTCAATGCTATTTTTTTGGCATAATATCCTAAATATCTATTTTAATTCTTGTCTCTATATGTGTAGCTAGGGTTTGGTGCTTTTTTTTTTCCCTTTTTCTTGTGAAAATACCTCTCGATGCAGGACAATATCCTGCTCCCTTTACTTAGGAGAATACTCCACTCGAGTTCAACAGGAGGATTATTCTCCTTGGGTAGAACCCCCCCTGCCAGAAGGCCCGTACATCACTTAAGTACTGGCTTAAGCAGAGAATAAATGTCCATCTGTGCAGGGTAGAATTTCATCTGTTGTCAGGGAAGTTAGATCTGACCCACAGACTTAAGGAATCCCAGATTTACTCACTATTCCTAAAATCACATCTCTTCCACTCCTTTCTTTCTCACTCAAGAGTTTATGTATCACATTTTCTTTATGCCTTTGCTATGTCTTAGAAATGCAACTGGTTGGAGATGTAGTTTGTGCTCAGGAGGTAAATGCCATCTTTACATACTTTCTTCTATCTTCTGTGGGTACAGAAAACTGAGCTTTGGGTTTTTCCTTGGTAGCAAGAATACCCCAGAACTTGTGACTGGAGTTGCAGTCTGATGCATCGAAGTGTTGCGTTTTGGTCACAGTGAAACCCTGTCTTTTGCCAGTAATATTGTAAGAGATAGGAGGTCAAATATGTTCAAAATGCAATGGTGCGGTGCCATCACATTGAGATGTTACAATAATTTTCTTTGATGATTTCAGCCAAATCATAATGTCCCTAAGAAACGTTGTGATTTCACAGAATTAGCTTTTTCCACTGGAAAAACTGGAACCTGCTTTATTTAAGTTAAAGAGCCTGCTCTTCCAGATTGGACTTGGGCAAAGTTCCTGGGGGCTTTGGGGGAGTTGTCAAGTGGGGAAAACAGTGTCCCCCACAGCGGGACTCTTCCTGGCTTAGCTCTTATTTGAAGTTGAACAGATTTGCTTTGAATGTTTGTGTTTGATTTGCATTGTCCTCTATGTGTTAAATTAGACCAGTAAAGCGCTGGGATCTCACACTGTTTCTGCTGAGCAGGCACAGACGCAGAAGAGTCTTTTTTGCATCCCTCTGAGTTCTTCAGGACATTTATGGGAGTTTATACCCTGGTATATAGTTTGTTTCCAACTAACAGTTTCCTCTTGGTTGTCGAGAGGCTTAATTGCTTTGAGGTCGTCTGTTAAAAACTTTGTAGATGTTGCCAGTATTTTGTGTCTTTCTGGTAAAGTGGAGCTGCTGCGGAGGGACGGGCGGCTGGTCGAGAGGGGCTGAGCCGCCCTGGTTCGTGTTGACTTCTGGTGGGACTTTGGGGATATATCCAACCTCTCTGAAAATGCCAACTGTACATTCTTGAGTGTTTGCAAATTAGTAAGGAACTGGAAAAACATCTCCCAGAAGCCTTGCGAGCGTGCAGCCGCTCTTTCTCATTGAAAAATTTACTTTTGTTAATTTTATCATCTGTATTTGAAGCGTAAGTAGTTATAAGGAACTCACACTGACGGGGTACTCTGCAAAAGCAGAAAGATTACAGTCCCAGGAAAACTCTCCTGCGTGATTGCTGTTTAAAGTTTATAGGAAATTAAGGTGTGACAATCGTTAATGTTGAGGTGGGAGAAGAGGATGTTGTGGGTTACTGGGTTTGTGACTGAATTTCCTGCTCTTTAACTTGGTTCTACTGGACTTCTCCTGAGTGGAATAGTGGCCTGGAGATTCACAGTGTGCTCCTGCTAAGTCATTTCCACTTATTAAGTACTTAGAAAAATCCTTTTTGTTGCCATCAGGGGGAGCTTTTGAGATCTTTCAAGAGTGAAAAAAAATATTAAAAAAAAAAAAAAGAAAGGAGAAAAAAAAGAAACGTCCCAGCTCAGAAACAGAGATCTACAAACCAGCAAGCAGCCAGAATCTTACCTGTGGCTACAACTAAGCCAAGGAAACCAGGGGAGCTGAATTCCTTAGACTGAAAAATTAGCAATATTGAGAGAGGATTTTTTGACTCAATCCACCAATAAAATTAATAATTTTTTTTTTATTATTATTTCAAAAAAACCAGGAGTCTTTGGAGCATTCAAAAGCCAAACCCTGCTCTGTTGCTACAGCTTCTGGAAGGCAAATGCTCTTCAAAAAGCTTCTCTCCTTTTAGCTCCTGATGATTCGATGGGGACCTTTGATGCAACATTTGGATTAGCTGCACACAACTGCTCTGAGGGGGACCACAAAAGGGGGAGCCTGGCTGATTGCATAACTTTAAGAAAATAATAAGAGGAAAAGAAAGAATTAGAAAAAGAGAGAGAGAGTGAGAAAGAGAGAAAGAAAGAAAGCAAGCAATTAAAAAAATATCTGAGACTCAAGTTTCAAGACTCTTTATGTGCTGCAGAGGAGCATAAGGTTTACCAGCAAAGTGCAACGGGGAGTCTGAGAGGAGAAATAGCTTTCTCTTTTGCCAAGAAAAAAAAAATAGGAATGTGTGTTTTGGACTGGACTGAGAAAGAAAGCTGGGGAGATTGCAAAAAGGGGGGTGCAGGTTTTTTGTCACATTGATCCATTCATCTTGATTGCCTTCTTTAAAAAATAAATAAGAGGGGGGCAAGTCATAGGGGGAAAGAGGAAGAGAGGAAAAGAAGGGGGGAAAAAGAAAACAGCAAAAGTGTTTGAACCTCTGGAGCTATCTGCTCCTTCAAGCTGATTGATTAGTCATGATCCCTGCAGTTTTAATGGGAATCATTCAATTGGGAAGGTGGAGCACCCTAGAGTAGATTAGCATATTCTTGTTTACTCATCTTCTGAGGGGCTTTTTCTCTTTTCTTTCATTTTGTGGAGAAGAAGGGAGGGGGGGAGGTTGGGGGGAAGGAGGGGGTTGTGGCTTATGTTATAAAGGAGGCCAAAAAAATAAATAGATTAGAGCATCTTTTGGGGGGAGGGAAATCAGTGGGTCTGAGTCTTGGAGAAAGCTGGGGGGGTTGTTTTGTTTTTTTGTTTTGTTTTGTGTGTGTGAGAGAGTGTGTGTGTGTTTTTTTTAAGAAGAAAAAAATAAAGGGAAGAAAATCCAGCAGAGAAAAGAAGAGAGAGAGGAATTCCAGCTGTGGAGGAATAGAGGAGAAGAAGACAGATAGAGGAGGAAGAACAGAGAAATACATTTCAACCAAGAAGGAGTTTTGATTTATTTTATTTTTATTTGTTTTAAGGAAAAAAAAAATCTATAAGCAGGAAAAAGAAAGAAAGAAAAAAGAAAAAAAGAAAAGAAAAAGCAACTGAGAAGGGTTATAAAAAGAGCAAATACCAAGAAGGGTGAACAAGAGAAGAAAGTCAAGGCAAGGAGGAGCCCAAAGCTGGCAGATCGGGAGGATTTGCAGGGGAGAAGGGGGGGGAAGATTGGAAATGCAGCTCTGGAGTTTGCTGCTGCCTCTTGCGCTTCTCTGTACAGCCCTAGCCAGTGGACCCGAATGTGGGATGGACGAGCGCTCCCGCAGGGCAAGAAGGGACACCAGGCAGAGCCGCCAGCTCCGCTACACGGCCCCGGGCACCTGTGCCACCAGGTTAGCCCGAGGAAGGCGCTCCACTGCTGGGCTGGAGCCTGGGCATGTCCCCCGCAGGAGGCAACAGCGGGAGGTAAAGGACGAAGAGGAGTCCCTTACCCCGAGCAGGGCGCTCTATTTCAGTGGACAAGGTGATCAGCTGCGGCTGAAGGCAGATATTGAGCTGCCCCGAGATGCCTTCACTTTGCAAGTGTGGCTGAAAGCTGAAGGAGGACAGAGATCTCCGGCTGTCATTGCAGGTAGGTCGCTCTCGGCGTGCCTCTGGCTGCAGCATCCCTTTTTACGTTTCGGGAGCCGGCGGAACAGCCAGCTGTAGGCGTGTGTGTGTGTGGATAGGAGATGTGTGTGTACATTGAAATGTGCGTGTGTGCAACGTACGTCTGGGTGTGAGTGCGTGTGGAAACATGCTCGGGTGCCTTTTATTATATATCTATTTGGTGAAATACCGGAGCTCGGCAAACTGGCTGAAAGTATATGCTCGCAGGAAAAGTTATGTAAACTTTTGCATAGGGAAATGGCAGTATCCTGGGGAGTTGCTTTATTTCTCTGTGTACGGATTCAAGTGCAGACAGGAGAGAGAGCTCTCACGGTGGGTTTTTACCTAGTTTTCAGGTTGGAAAACTGTAAACAGAGCGTTTGAAAGTAGCTTGTGTGTATGTATGAAAACAAATGCATGTGTCTGGTGTGTGGCTGCAAAGAAATGCATATCTAAGGTCCTCCAGTGATTTCCTTACTTTTATTAGCTTTTTAGTGTTATTTCACTGGTACCTTTTTAGATGCAATCTTAGCGTGTGGTTTCCAGAAAGCTATAAAGGAACTTTTGGCTATTGTGAAACCTCAAATGAATCAAATGAGTTTATAAAGTTCCCAACCCCTCGACACTCGGCGAGGGCTGGGACTAGCGCTGCAGCTAGAGGATGTGTTGAGTATTTTTGTCTCCCCTCAGCAATGGCAAGTGTAACACAAATGATTGTAAGGTCAAATAGCCCTATAAAATCATTTAGTACTCAAAGCGGCTACCAGTCTAAGCCGTCTGAGCTGAACAATAATGAGGAATATTGCACTTTTCTTATTTAAATTTTATGAGCCCATCCTGAATTTGGGTCCCTTTTTCCCCCCGCGTTGGCTCCCTCTCCCCCCCCCCTCCGCCACCTCCCGCCCTCGCCCCGCTTTAGTGATAAAGTGCAGCGAAGTTGTCGTGAAATTGGATACTTTTCGGAGGGTTACAAACCCTTATAAATGTCGCCACATCCATCTTTGCTCTG